TCTTTTACAAAAAAAAAAAAAAATAGATAAGGTGAATTGAATTTTTCGAAATCTTTAATATGATTTGTCATATACCTACAATGAATAACATCTATTTAGCAGTCAAATTAGGTAATGTGATGGCATCATGCTTCTATTATCATGTCAATGTTTAACTTTTTTCATGGCATGTCCTAATCTGTATGCATCAATAAAAGTCTTAGGTGCTAGAAACTTTCAAAATCAAAAACAGGTTTCAAGTATGAAATTATACACTTTTGGCTTATAAATTATTTACAAACTTGAAGGATTTGATTCAACATCAAACTAAAACATTTACAAGTAATTATCTCTTCTATAAAGCAGTTTCTGAATTCTGACCATTAAAACAAATCTTGGCTAATTCAAATTATATATATATATATATATATATATATTGTTTTTTATCAATTTAAATATTGGAAAGGTTGGTGATGGGATTAGTTGAGGTTTGATTAATATCTTATCTAGCCAAACCAAATCTTGTTTATTAGGCTAGCTTGGCTTGGCATGGTCGATAGTCATGGATTCAACACAGGGCTAAAGAACCACTGAACCTTATCAATTACCAAGTCAATTACTCACATTTGGTTGTCACCACACCAACCATACCATAAATCTTATTTGAAACAAAGAAGAGCCTGTGCCTTTAGGAGTTTGAGGTGACTGTCCAACAAAAAAAGATACTAGTATTGGCTCTCATTTGAGGGGTTGACGACCTTTCAAAGCTTGTCTAAGCCCATAAAGACTATTGGCCACTGCCCTAAGTTGTCAACTGACCCTCATGTTGGGGACCTAACTTAATTTTCAACCAACTATGGATACATGTCACTATCTTATTGGTATTATATTTGAGCCCTTCTCTTTATTATGTGCAAAAAACTTAGGGAGTAATTATAGAGGTTTGGTTCTTTAAAGTTTTGGAATTGAATAATTCTTTATGGTTATAACTTATTTTTAACACTATTAAGAATTTTGACCAACAAATGTAGCTTTATGCTACAAATCATTATTTATTTCAATTTAGATTTGAACCTTAAATACTGAAATTAAAAAGTTTATATGATCTTCAACTTTGTTTCAACCTAATTACCTTTCTGAACGATTTTAAAAATGCACTCTTTCATTGTTATTTGGTGCATTAGATTAAGATTTTATTTCAAAATGCTCTACACAAATATTATTGCAACATTGTTTGTATAAATATTGCTTGAACTAAAATAACTTGCATATTATAATTGAGTATACTCCAAAGAGAAAATTGGATAGCTTGACTTGCCTTTTTGGAAACAATTTCAATATTAGTAATGTAAGTTGCAACATTTCTCTTGTATGTTTTCTACTGACCTAATCATATGATCATTAAACCATCATATCAATAATTTTCCTATTCGATATTTCATGTTCAAAAGTTAGCAAGCTAGCTTACAAAAATATACTTTCTTATAAGGGTGGATATTTTGGTTATGCTGCCATCAAATTTTTTCTTGTAAGATTGACTTTATCCAATTACAAAGATTTTATTGTTATTTGATTGGAAATTTATTTTATTATTTGATTAGACATTCATTTTTAGCATGTAATGCATATTTGATTAGACATTTATTTTATTATTTTTTTAGTTTGTATAAGCCATGTTTACTCTTGAAACTTATTTACATTTTATTATTTTTTTTGTTAAAGATGAGTGATAGAGATACTATACAAGTGGATACTCAATCAATCCCTCAAGGTGAAGGAAACACACATGGAACAAAAAGTGAAGTTGTAAGCATAAAACCAAAAAAGAAATGACCTAACACATGGTCGGAGATATAGGATCATTTTACTAAATTTACTAGTGACAATGGTGATATCAAAGCTAGATGCAATTATTGTGATAGAAAATTTTATGCTCATCCTAAAAAAAAAATGAAACCTTTGTATTAAAGAATCACATAGGTATTTGTACTAAATTTCCTTGTACTAGTGGCGATCCTTTCCAAACGAAATTAGTTTTAAGCTTAGGAAAAGATGCATCTTTAAGTACTTGGAAGTTTAATTAAGATGCCATTAGGAGAGGTGTGGCTGAGATGATTATTATAGATGAATTGCCCTTTAGATTTGTTAAAGCTAAAGGATTTAGGTGTTGCATGTCTATTACTTGCCTTAGATTTTGTATGCCATCACGATGGATTGTTGCTAGGAATTGCTATTAAATTTATATAGATGAAAAAAATTTCCTAAAGCAATTTTTAAAATTGTCTATTATGAGAGTATCTTTGACCACTGACACATGGACTTCATTGTAAAGAGTCAATTATATGTGTCTTCCTACTCATTTTTAGACAATGATTGGAAACTTAACAAAAAGATTTTAAACTTTTGTCCTATTTTTAGTCATAAAAGTGAGTCTATTGATAGGGCAATTGAGAAATGCTAGTGTGATTGGGGGATTGATAAAGTTTTCACTATCACAGTTGATAATGCTAGTTCTAATGATTTTGCAATCTCATACTTGAGAAAAAAATTTAATAATGCAAGAACTAGTATTGTAGGAGGTAAATATCTTCATTTGAGATGCATTGCTTATATTGTTAATGTTATTGTGAATGATGGGTTAAAGGAATTAACTAATTCAGTTACTTATGTTAGAGGGGCAGTTAGATATCTAAGACAATCACCTTCTAATTTGCCAAGTTTAAAGAGTGTGTTATCAATAAACATATTCAAAGTAAAAGCTTGTTGTGCTTAGATATTAGCATTATGTAGAACTCTACTTTCTTGATGTTGAAACAAGCTTAAAATTTTGAAATAGCTTTTCAAGCATTTGATGATATTAATCCTTAAAATAGAACTGAACTCTTGTTGGGAGATGGGGTGCCCGCTCAAAATGATTGGGTCAGTGTTAAAAAATTATACCTTTTCTTGCAAAAAATTTTACAATTTCACAGTTAAAGTTTCAAGTTCTACATATGTCACCACTAACAATTTTCTTGAAGATATATATGGTGTTTATGGTATTTTGCAAGATTGGCAATTGAATATTGATGTTGAGTTGAGTGCAATGGCTAAGAGAATGAAGGATAAGTATAACAAGTATTAGGAGAATGTAGAGAAAATGAATATGTTACTTTATATTGCTTCTGTTCTTGATCATAAAAAAAAACTTGCATTTGTGGAGTTTTACTTTATGAAAATGTGTTCTCATTATCAAACTTCAGTGATGATTAAGAAAGTGTAAAAAACAATAGTTGAGTTATTTGGTGAATACAAAAATATGTTGCAACCTCAATCTAAACAAGTTGGTTATAGTAAAACACATGAGTCAACCACCACTATCCACCAATGAATTTGGAACTATGGACCTATATGACTCACAAGTTGTTATAATTGAGTTTAGGAGGTTTAAGAAATAACAAGGTAAAGAAGAGAATAAGTCAGAGTTGGATAAATATTTAAATGAAAATCCTGATGCTATTAAGAAGGGGGTGGACTTTGATGTTCTTATTTGATGAAAACTTAATAGGCATAGGTTTCTTATCTTTTCCTATCTAGCTCGTGATGTGTTGGCGGTTCCTATATCTACAATTACTTCTGAATCTGCTTTTAGCACTGGTAGTTATATGCTAGATACATATAGGAGTTCTTTAACTCTTAAACTTGTTCAAACTCTTGTTTGTGCTCAAGATTGATTACGTGAAGCTTCAGATTTTATTCCAAATGCCTTAAAGGATGAAGGAGAACAACTTAACAAGATTGATTTGGGTAATTATTTTATTTATATCATTATTTTTCAATGCTTATTTCTTTAAATCTTTTAGTTAAAGTTGACTTTTTTTTTATTTTTTATGTATTTTTAGATTTATCCAAGATTGGATTGGACCCCGTAATTGATTAGTAAAGTTTATTAATCAATTGAGGTAATATTGGCATTACTTACATTGAATGTGATCCACATAGTTAAATTTTTCTCTTTTAGACTGTGTTAAATGGAATAATTTTTCATTGAATTGTGTTTAATTTTTATTTATTTATTGTTGAAATTTGAAAGGGTTTTATTGCCTTCTGCTTGCTGCTGCCCACTGCTGCCTGTTACCTATTGAAAATTAATGTTTGAGACGTGGAATTTAAGTGTTGTAATTGGTTAAGATGTTTGTTGTTGCTTGTTGAATGTTGTTTGAGAATTAAACTTTATGGAATGTAATTTGCTATGTATTGTATGTGTGTATGTTGTTTAAGACTTAGACTTAAAGTTTATGAAGCTTGTATTTAGATATTATTTGAGTATTGCTGACTAATTTAGAGCTTATGTATTACCGACTGATTTAGAGCTTATGTATTGCTCACTAATTTAGAGCTTGAGACTAAATTTACTGTGTATAAATCTTGTGTTTATGAAGTTTGTGTTTAGATTTTATGAAGCTTGTGTTTAAGAACTATATGAATTACATTGAAAGTTGAATACAACAAATAAGAAATCGGAACTTATTATATCAAAAAAATTGACTGAAACTGACAAGATTAAATCATGTCAATTTTCTTGATTTTATATTACTATTCGGTAGGTTCGGTTTTATCTTTAGATTAAATAGGTTAAATCGATTTTTAGATTTTTTGAACTAAAGTAACCAAACCGACCGATTGCTTAGTCCTAGTCTTCTTCCTCTCTAGAGAATTATAGTTTAATTAGAGATAAAAACTAATGACTCATAGATAAAATTTAATTGGATGATCAATAAATTTTTGAAATTTTGATTAGCCAAAATTTGAATTTATCTGAAAATTATTTTAATTTAATTAATAAATAAATTTGATGACTTATAGATGAATTTTGATTGAGTAAATAAAATGTATTTATCTTCAATTGTTAAAGGACATATTTAATTAATTATAAAATTAATTAATGATGTAATTGTTCCACAAGGAAATAAATAATTTATCACTTGAAAATTTCTTAATTAATTAATTAAAAAAATTTTCTCTGAACATGTGGGATTAGATAAAATTTTTCTCCTTCTACAAATACCATTGGATATACTTATTTTTACCGAAGAACATACAAACAAGAGAACTCAGTAAAACAAAAAACTTACGATTTCAAACACAGATTTTGCAATGATTGCAAAAAAGCAATCAATATAACCTTCTATAGGGCCTTTTTAATGACCATTTCATCATACATCATATGTTTCTAAATTTGGGAAGCAAGGGTACCTGCTATCTCCAACTGCCTATTTTCATTGTGATAAATGCTCGTGAAGGAACTCAGAAGGAACACATGCAGCAGGGTCAATCATTTCATCCACCATAACTGCTACCTTTCCTTTCACATCACCTATCAAATTCATGACCAACAAGATAATATTTGTACGTTGATTTCGAGTTCCGTATTACCTCACAGCTTAAAAAGGATGAACGAGAAAAGAGTAAGGGATCAAGCATGAGAATAGAAGCAGACATTGGACTAGATGAGTGTTATTCTCATCTGTTTCCAAAATTTTGCCACATAAGTAGCAAGTACAGAATCACTACGTTACATGATTTCAATTAGTTAATATTATTTAGTTGCATGACATTAACCCGTCTTCCACCTTCGACACCATAATCTACTTTGTTTCTTTAGGTTCATGAATATTCGAAATTCTATTAATCATTTTCTTTTCCCCCCAAATATTGAAATCTTGATCAATCAAGATATTTAAGAAAGAGAAACGAATCAAACGATATACTGTCCTACCCAACTAGGAAACACCCATACGTTATGCTGTATGAATAATGTGAATATTATTGATGGCCGGTGATGATGTGAACATACGTTCGTGGTGTTGTTACCGAAATAGTAACTGATGGATGTTGCAACTCGATCAGATCCAATAACTAGTCTTTAATTTAGAATAATTTATAATAAATCTCAATGCTAGCTCGATATAAAGAAATGAAAATGCCATCCCGATCCCTTGGCCTTAATTTCTCCCAGTTTCAGCGCAGAACGACTAATTCTTTCTTAAATTTCTTCACACTCCAGTAATCCATAGTAGAGTTCCCTTTTTTGTGCTTTATTTAGATCACATCACAAGTGAATCCCAAGGCATTGATCTCCAAAACATGTCACGCCACTATGCCCGCTTAGAGTCAAACACCCATTGACATAACTTGACCCTAAGGCTGATACACCTTAAACACTTAGCTCTGCTGCTGCCTGCCCATCATTGCTATTATGATCCTCTCCGCTCCTTCCTTCAAACTTAATATATTTATACCACTTAGCGCATATTAAGTAGACCACTAGATCAGCTGTTGTCAAAGCTGCCAACAGGAAATAGAATCTGTCCAGATGACCTCTGTTGATGTTTCCTGGGATCCATCCTGGCATATCATCTCTTGTAGATATTTTCATGACAATTGTCACGAGCAAGCTGCTCACGTAATTTCCCAATGATATAGATGTCATGCAAAGTGCACTTCCAAAGCTCTTTAACCCATCCGGTGCTTGCCCGTTAAAAAATTCTAATTGACCAACATACATGAATACCTCAGACGCTCCTATAAGCATATACTGAGGAATTTGCCAAAATATGCTCAAAGAGCTTGCATTTTCACAGCTCGGGCAATCTTTGTTTGCGTACTTTAACCTGAAAAGCTCTACAACTCCGGCTGCGACCATTGCCAGTATAGCTATAACAAGCCCAATCCCCATTCTCTGGAGCTCAGTGAGGCCCTTTGGTTTTGTCTTTATTCTTGCAACAATAGGGTCAAGAACTCGCCTGTAAATGAAAATGAATGTTGCCACGCTGAGTATGTCAAAACTAGACATGCCCGCCGCTGGTATGTGGAAATTTGAAATGGTTGTTTTCATTGCATCCCCTTGTTCTACAAAGAGTGATGCCATTTGAGTAAAAACCACAGAGTATAGAATGGTGCATAGCCAAATTGGGAGGAGTCTCAGTATGCATTTGACTTCTTCAACTTGTGTTACTGTGCAGAGATGCCATGGATTGCGGCCATCCAAAGTTCTCAATTGCCTAGCATAATCCTTCGGTGTCATAATTGCCGCTCTATCCAAAAACCTGAAAAAAATGAATATGAACACGATGTCAATAAAGTTGTCTTGACGATTAAGTTGATCTAATTAGATTTTAAGATAGATCAAGAAAGCACATATGAACCTACCTGAAACCTTCTGTGTGGATTATCTTTCTAGCCCCATTCATGGCAGATTCCTTTCTATCCAGTTCAAACAAATTCTCTCCTCCTGGCGTCATGTCAGCCTTCCATTTTCTCGTTGCAGCAACAAATACTTGGCAAAACCTTGAGAGAGGGTTGCCCTTGGGTTCGAAGTGCCTATACCTCGGTGTCCCAATCAGAAACAGGACTAATGCCACAAAGGCAGAGCCAGCGGATGCCCAAAATCCGAGCGTCCACATGCCCTGGTCCTCAAAATAGCCCAATATGGTGTTTGAAAAGAGTGATCCAAGGTTCAAAGCCAAATAGAAGTAGCTAAAGAAGGCTATTTTTGAGTGCCCTTCTTTAGGGTCTTCCTCGTCAAACTGATCAGCGCCAAATGTGGCAATGTTAGGCTGGTAACCTCCGTTTCCCAGGGCTACGAGGTATATTGCAAAGTAGAAGAACAAGATGTGGAAAGCAGAGTGAGATCCACATGGAGTTTCTTCATCACCGCAGCCGCTAGGCTTGATTAAGACAGAGGAAGAAATTGATAACAACACCAAACCCTGTGTTCAAATAAATTTGCATTAGCAAGGAATCGATTGAAATTTTCAATTTTCCAGCACTGTATAGGTAAAAAAATAATACTATATATGTATTCATGGAAAAGAGAAAGATCAGGGGAAGTTGTTTGTAACTTACAACAACAAAGACAGCCTGGAATATGGCACAAGTCTTGTACCTTCCCCAGTAAGAGTCACTAAGAAAGGCACCAAGCAGAGAGAAAATGTAGACCGTCCCGGTCCATTTGCTGACGTTGTTTGCAGCATCAGCGATGTCCTGGCCTAGCACCCTCGTTAAGAATAGCACCAGGTTGACCCCAACTCCGAAGAATGCCAATGTTGCCAGCCCTTGATTAACTGATGAAATTTTGAATGAATTAATACCAAATTCGGTATTTGATTTTTGAGAAAATATATAAATTAGTATTTTAAAAATAAAATATAAATTTGTATCTTAAATTTTTAAACAATGTACAATTTGTATTATAAATTTTTAAATTATATATCATATTAATCTAAATTTTAGTTTCATTAACAATATCAATTTATATATATAAGGTTTGATAAATATTATTAAATTATGAATTTATTACATATATTATCATCTTTTTTCAATAAAAACTAAAATGAATCTAAATAAATATATATTTAAACTATAAAAATTATTTACAATCGATCAATTATTATTTGTAACGTGATACATGTATGATATTTTTATATTTTTATTTAATAAATAATATGCATATAGCAAAATTATATATATCGGTTAAATATTATATAAATTAGTTAAATTAAAAGTATTAAAATTTGAATTAAAATAATATATTATTTAAAAGTTCAAGATATAAATTATACATTTTATCTCTTTAAGTACCAATTTGTGTATTTATCCAAAATTTAAGTACCAAAGATGTAATTGACTCAGTTTGAATGGAAGGAATTATATTTCAAATAAAGATTTCCTTTGCTATGATTAGAAGAAGAAGGAATCCTCGATAATAAACATTTACAAAAAAAAAAAAAAACTGAACGGTCAACATTTGTTAATTTGGTAAGGGGAAGTCAGAATAGAACGCACGTCACAAGTGCAGATACCGTGCTCAAGTGTAATTTGCCAACCGTCCAGCAGAATGAAAAATGCTTTGCATGCAATGCAACAAACTTTATGCACAAATTCTTCCCTTTGTCGGCACAAAATATGTACATATAGCTTGCCAATGCATAAGCCATATGCTAAATAAGTGAATTCTTAAAATTCAGAACTCTTCCAGAATTATATATAATTTAATGCCGAGATTATATTATTTTGAAGAATTCTAACAATGAAAACTCGACAGCATCCATACATGTGTGTAGCTCCTTTAATTATCAATTGCGGTGAAAGTATAGAGATTTACCTAGCAGTAGAATTCCAGATACCCAAGTTCCAGTTCTGCCTCGAATTGCGGGATGACCATGTCGATCCACAGCTCCATCTAAAGTGTATACCTCTTCCTCCATTGCAATCTTCTTTTCAGTACTCACCTGATAGTTTCAACAAATACAGCTTCATTAACAAGTGTTTGAAATTTTATATAAACGTCAAACTAAAGAGACAGATGTCAAAAATATTGACTTAGTAATTAATTTAAACAAACTATATAGGCATCTTTTTGACGATTGAGGCCATCAATTCAGTGTATTTGTTGAATTACTTGAAATGTTTATGATGTAGATATTTTAGATTCTAGGGATAGAATAATCTTTTTACTTAGCTATGGGATCTTAAGGACATTTTGGTTTTTTAATCCATCTGGACATTTTATCTTTTTACCGACCTAAGGTGGCAAAATCATTATAGGTAGAGATGTTAAATTGGTTGAGTGACACGATACGATTTCGTAAGATATGGATTGTGTTTGGACTCATTGTAAAGTTATTAGATAGGCTAAGCATAATATACATGTGTGTTGTACTGGGATAAAAAGTTTTATGACTATAGATCGACATGATAGAATTGGTTAAGAGTCAACATCAACATATAGTATGTAAGTTAATACGGCATAGCACACAAATTCAACCATATCATATTGATTTTTAATTATTATAAATAGGCTCTAAACTTTTAAATATATTCATATTATTTTTATATTGTAATAAAATTATATTTTCTTTTGATATTTTGTTGATTGTTTATAAAATAAAATTATATCAAATAAATTTACTTATTAAATATTTAAATTATTGATAGATAAATTATATTTAATTAATGATTAAAAAATAAAGTAATAAAAATAAATTAAGATTTTAAATTAAATATAAATTCAATTAATAAAATAAATTACTATGGGAAAACACAAAAAATATGATCATCCACCTAATTATTTGGTCTATCCAAGATAAGGTGAATGTCGGATGACAAAAAAATACCTCCCCCAATATATAGGAGATCCAATATAGAGATTTGAATTGGCCAAAAAAATATGGAGATTTTCCCGTCATCACCATGTTATATATACTCGGAAGAAAATTACTTAAACAGAAATAGTACTAAATAAAACAGACGACCCCTTTTCACACTAACATTAGCAGCATGATGAAAATTTAAAGGGAAATAAAAAACAAAAACAAAATCGCCAACCTCTTTGCATATGTTATTTAGACATGCCATATGGGTGCAATGCAATCTCCCAAAAACTAGTATTAACTATCTCAAAATAGTTGAAGAACAAAAGGTTGGGAGAAGAGTTTAGAAGACCAGACAAGAAAGTGCATGTAGGAGGAGAAATGTTTGAAGGCAATGGGTACCCCAGGGATGGGTTGAGGTATATATAGAAGATGGCAGCATTTAATGGACGGCTGAAATTTCATGGGGTGAACAACATATAGCCCACGTTTATTGGACGAAATGAAAAAGAACGCAAAAAGCTTTGGGAAGCAACAGGCTTGATTTTAGATGAGGGCAAAAGAATAGACGTGAGACCAAAGAGGCGTGACATTGTTGGATACAGAGATGAGATGGCCACCGGTTTCATCATCATCATCACATTCAAACAATGACTAACATCATAACCCTTTTAACGTAGAGGATGCTGGCTGTGACTAAGCTGTCTTGATATTGACAATTTGACATGTTCGAAACATGCCCTTTTTGCACATCTGATGAATTATTTTCTCCCTTCTGATATGACTTGTGAGTTAGGAGTTGTGATTTACTTTAGGACCTTCAAAGGGTATCTTCGTGTGCAGGGTCAAGTCAATCACCGAACAAAGTTTTGTTCAGTTTCCTTTGCGCTTCCTTTTCTTAGAGAAATTTGACCATTATAGCAGCCTTTTCAAATCTCTGGGCTCAAAGAATTAAGAGTATAAACAAATCTATTATTTGGGACCATTAATATTTTTAGTAATATATGTGTGTATATATATATATATATTATTTTATATAAAAATATGAACTCCAAAAGTGATAATAGTGAATGACCAAAATACATTTAATAAATTTTTAAAAAAGTTTTAATAAAAATGACTTTTTTTAAAAAATTTCTATTAAGATAAATTATAATTTGAACTCTTTTATTATTAGACTTATTAAAAAATGTAATTTAAACTCTTTTTTTTATTATTTGATTTTTATTGAGTCAAAAAAAAATTTCGCATTAAATACAAATACAAAAAGAATTAATTATCTAAGCTCCTTTAGAGAAAGGGGTTTGCAATATTAACAAGAAATCTTTTTTTTTCACATCAACATAAGATTTTTTGCTATCCTTGTTCAGGTAACTTTACAAATTATACTAACTTTGAATAGTTAATTTAATTTTTTTTCTTTGAATTTTAGATTGTTTAATGCTTATCCACCTTTTGCTGAACTAAATACAAATATACAATTACAATGAATGTTTGTAGGTTTTTTTTTGTAGAATTAGGTGATCGAAGAATTGGGAATCCAGAGAGCAAAGGTTTAGGCATTGTAGGGAAAAAAATCAAGTGCATGAATCATCACAATAGCTTATTCGAGGTATAGTTGCTTTTGCCACTAGCTTTGCAAGATCCATCAAAGTTTAAATTAGTCTATCCAATTTTAGGCTTTTCCCATGCAACTTGATTATGTTTTTTTAACGAGTTCCTATAAAGCAATTGAACCTGGTTTTGTATCGATCTTAATTTGACATCTAAAAATATTGAGCAGTATAAACAATAAAGTTAAAGGTCCTATCAATTGTCTTATTAGCAGTCAAATTATTGATGTTTAATAGTAAGGATTTAAATCCATTCTACTTGTGGTACTATTAATCAAATATCTTAGAATTTAATTTTCTTTTATAGTAATTAACCCCACTTAAAATTGAATCTCTAATATAATCATTTCAGGCAAATACGTCCAAATTTTTTATTTTGTATATCATTTATATGCTCTTGACATTATTGCCTTATTTTTATCATTTTAAGAAATAGTTGGTATTAGTTTTAGCCACAACACTATACTCATAAATTTCAACCATTCTATTTCTATACTTGTATACATCTTTAATATAATTATACTTTTAGTACAACTGGATAAACTTAATGAATAAACCAAACCATTTTAGTCCTTTTAAGATTTTTAAGGACTTTTTATAAATTTACTTTAATATGTGTCTAAACTTATTAGCTTGTATAATTTGTTTATAAAATTATGCTAAAATTTTACAACACTATAGTGATAATTTTTTATTTCTTTTCATTCTTATCATCCCCACCATGTGCAAGTATGTAATTTTTTATTAAAGAATGTCTCATTCAATTATCAAGATATTATATATACTTAATCAAGTTGCCATTTTATTTATCTTTTCACTATTTTATGGTTTTTTTTTTTTTTAAGTATAAGGCCTCTAAATCCACCTTTAGTAAAAGACAACTAGCAAAAATCTTAATATTTGTATAAAAGTTTCAAAATTTTTATATTTGAACTCGATATAAGAGTTTACATCAATAGCAAATTTCAAATATAACCATGCTGCTATAGTCTCCTTTTAAGACTTTTTATGTCAATTTATAAATATTTATATGAATATATTTCATTATGGACACTATTAATAATTTTTACTACCATGAACAAAATCATTTTCATCACCCAAATGAATTAAATAGAATTTTTTTTGCTATTATAAAAGTTTTCATATTCACAAGATCTTTGAATTACTCATGACTTTCAAAGTAAATATAATTTGAAATTTTCGCTATATAAAACCATAAATGATAAATCATTTATACAATTCATGAATTAGACCTTTTACATAACAAAAATTATCACAACATGATCAATATTGTGGCATCAATTTTGGCTTATGGCTATTTTAAGCCAATCATAATAATCCACATCATATCTAGAAATCATGTAGATTTGGCTATTGAAATTATCTCATTTATAGTGATAGCTTTTAGTAAAAACTAACTATCTGAAATGTTATCATGAGTTTTCAATACATATATTAATTGCCTAATGGCCAATTTCAAGTTCATTACTATTGAAACCTTTAAACTTGATCTCAAAATTTTATGAGAATTTTATTTCTCCACCATTGTGCAGCCTATATATCTCTTATTATTTATTACTTTTAATTGATCATAATAAATTTGGATATATAATAAATTCAAACTTTACTCATATGACCAATATGCCTATGTATTATAAGAGTTTAGAGTATATTTAACTCCAATTTCAAATACTTTCACAATCATTTTATATCAACATGTTCATATCTAGATCACCATATCAATGCAAGTAATGAACATGAATCCAAAGAATCATTTTCATAAAATAGTATAAACAATAATTATAATATAAGTTCTACTCATCTTTCATCCAAAAATTCATGATAAATTTGCATCGGTTAAATCATTGATTGGCTAGCTCTTAAGCTTATAGCTTTCACAAACCGATATTATTATCTAAGTCCATATGTATGGTGTATAACTAGCCACATCCTTGCAATTGTCATGTAACTATTGAAAACCTCGAAAACTTGTTCAATTTTCATTTTAATAGCCTATAAAAGGCCATTTTCCTTGTATAAGAAGTAAAAATAACTTCATTGTATTTAATCAATAATGTATTAATTAGATGATGAAATTCTATCTCCATAGTCCATATCTTTCTTATATGTATAAAAAAGAAAATTTCCATCCTATTTAGTTCATTCACTATAAGAAAATGAGGATTTTTTGGTTTTTTTTTTTACTGCATTTTCTAACAAGTGCCACTAATTGGTATGCCTTTATAAACTTAGCAACATTTTTTGTACAAATGCTGTTAAATATTTATTTAGTGGTGTTTATAGTAAAAATGCCACTAATCTCAAATATTTAGCGGCGTTTTTAGTTATAAACACGACTAAAGTTTAAAATTTAACATCATTTATATTTAAAATGCCACAAAATGACTTTTTTTAAAAAAAATTTATTAAAATTTAAAAAGTAAAAGTTTCTCATAGTTTAACCTATATGCACCATTTGGATTTATAAGTGGCATTTTTTTAAAGAAACACCTCCAATTTGCAAAAACTAGTGATGTTTGTTTCTACAAATGCCGCTAATAAGCCCCAACCCCTTTATTTTTGCCTTAAAAAAACTAAGTTTTCCCCTTTTCATTCATTTTCATTTTCCTTCTGCTAGATTTCTTCTGTAATAATGTAAGTTAGTTTGTTATTAGATTTTACAATTTTTATTTTTTGTATTAATATTGTTGTTGGATTGAACATTCTGCCCATTTGGATTTTTTTCTCCCATTCCATTCCCACAGTTTAAACAACCATGGATTTTTTTTTTAAATCTACCCCTCCCTTCTCATGCTGTAAATTTCCCTTCCTTCAATCTCTCCATTCCACAAATCTAAATGGAATACAGGGAAAAAAAAGAGGAAAGATTTTGCTTTTCAAATTGAAAACCCTAGAATTTAGAAGATTTTTTTTTTTTGAATTTTAATGGTGAACTTGATAATTTCATGGCCAAAAGGTTGAAAAATGTGGCATTGAGCTAAGCTGACATTAACGGATTTTATTTTGCTTTGTCCTGTTTTCTTATAAATGACACTAGAAACTGAAAGAAGCTGTATCATACAAGGTTTTATCTTTCTTGTTATTTTATAAATGATTGCCTTCTATGTAGTGTAAGATGAATACATCATACCAGTTTGGGATTTTTGGAATCATCTTTTAGTCAGGTTCATCAAATCTGAACTGATAGAACTAGGTGTTTGAGTTGTATTGTTATATTTTTATAATTTTTTTAATAAGATAATGTTGTTATGATTCATTACTTCACTGTTTAAGTCATTTAGCTTTATTCTTGGATAGAGCAACTTGAGAACAAAGGCAATGTAATTAAGAAAGAATAGTATCTGTGAAATGTATGTGCTATTTTAAGTTTTATCATACTTTTTTTTTTGCACTAGTGAGCTAGAAACTGTATTTATTTTTCAAACATGTGCTTCCATCAGATCAATGATTTTAATTTGGGTCTGTGTATCATTTTTTGTGTTTCCACCAGATCAATGATTTTAATTTGGGTCTGTGTATCATTTTTTGAACTTTGAAACTCTTTGACTATTATGATTGGAACTTTTCCAACTCATCTTTGTTGGGTGCTTATTGTCCTTCGAACTATATAGGGGAGTGACAAAGATTTATTCATCAAGCTCATAAGGTGATGGAAATGTGTCAATATTTTCTAGAAAGCATATGTACTTATTCCAATTAACGAAGAGTAAGTTTTCCTGCTATATATATTTACAAACAATCACTTAAAATG